GGAGTTTGGACGAGCATGTGGAGCACCTGCGCACCGTTTTGGACCGGATATGATAAGCCAAGTACAAAGCCAACCGCGACCAATGCGAATTCGCGCGGCAAGAGCTCGAGTACTTGGGCCATTATGTGAGCCGCAAGGCATCCGTCCGCTTGCAGACAAGATCGAGGTCATCCGCGTATGGCCCGAGCCCACCAACACCACGGACGTTCGCTCATTCATGGGGTTGGCAGGCTACTATCAACGTTTCATCACCGGGTACTAAAGGATTGCCGCACCATTGACGAGATTACAATCGCCAAAGGTGCCATTCATATTCGCCATGCTCTTGGTATCCGTCCTTAGCATCTACGACCCCACCTTGCCAACGACAGTGACAACTGACGCTTCCAGCTATGGCATTGGGGCAGTCTTGGAACAACACGATGGTGACGACTGGCACCCCGTGGAGTACTTCAGCCACAAGATGTCTCCCATCAATTCACTTGATGATGCAAGGAAGAAGGAGCTGCTCACGTTCGTGATGGCTCTCAAGCGATCGTGGCAACCCATTGACCTACTACAAGACGTAGGATACGGTGAGCAACACTATTGGACGATGGATGTACTTCATCGACCGATGACTTCACACCGAAACATCTCGCCAGCCTCTCCGATCGCGTAGCAGATGCACTCTTGCGCAGACCCGATCTTTGCGCTATGACACATCACGCCTTCGCATTCGACGAGGAACTCCAGCGGCACTTCATTCGGGGCTATGAGTCTGATCCGGATTTCGCCACGCTATACGCACAACTATCGTCGGATCACCCGCCGGCCAGCCACTATCGCATCGTCGACGGGTACTTGCTTCTCCACTCGCGAGGCAAGGACTTATTGTGTGTCCCACGAGACCGTCGTCTTCGGACTCGCCTTCTCGTCGAGTACCACGACTCGCGACTCGTCGGCCATTTCGGAGTCAATCGGACCACCATACGACTTCGGCAACAATTCCGATGGCCCAACCTCATTACCGATGTCACTCGGTATTGCGAGTCTTGCGAAGTTTGTCAACGAAGCAAGCCCCGCAACCGCAATCCTTACGGCGAGTTCCGCCTGTTGCCTATTCCACGGGAACCCACCCTCTCCATTGCCACGAACGTCACCGGCCCGTTTCCCCGCGACCGCTTTGGGCACGACGACATCCTCACGGTCGTTGACCGATTGAGTAAATACGCGTGATTTCTCCCTTGCAAGTACTACGCCACGGCTCCCGAACTTGTGCGCCTCTTGGAAACCAGCTGGATTTGCAGCCACGGCGTACCGGAAGACATCGTTAGCAACCGCGACACTCGTTTCATGTCGGCATTCTGGACTTCTCTCATGCAGGAATCCGGCACCAAAATGAAACCAAGTTCGGCTCGGCATCCACAAACGGATGGGCAAACGGAGCGGGCACATCAAACCGCCCAAATGATGCTTCGTGCACTCATCCCTCCGACTCAGAAGGATAGGGTTGACCGCCTCCCCGACATCAAGTTCACCTACAACACTTCGTTGCATCCGGCGATCGGCGTGACTCCATTCGAGTTGCACCACGGAGGCCGGAAAGGCCGTATCTTTGTTGATCTTCTCATTCCACGACCAGCCGACATAGACGCCGCTTGCTCTCCCACCTCCGTTCGGAAGTAGAGAGAATTGCTGGCTCAAGCCCGTGCGAACATGCAAACGGCTAAAGTCTGCATGCAGCAGCAAGCCAACAGGCGTCGCGTGCCATGTCCCATCCGCGCTGACGATCTGGTTTAGGTCTCCATGGAAGAATTTGCGCTCGAACAGGATGTCTCGCGCAAGCTACTCCCCAAGTGGTTTGGACCATGGACCGTCAGTTCAGCCACAGGCGACGAGCCCGACGGCCCATCCTTTGTGATCGACATCCCTCCGCATTTGCTGGCCCACCTGGTCTTTCATGCCTCGAAGCTGGCGACATATACACCGGCTAAGAGTGACGACTTCCCGGGCCGATGATCGCAAGACCCTCCGTCTATGGATGATCATCAGGAAGTCGACCGACCGCGTCATCACGGATTGCAAGTACGGCAGCAAGCATCGACAGTACAAAGTTACCTTCTAAGCATGCGATACCGACGACACTCGATGGATTTCAGGAGCAGATTTGAAAGCATCCGCACCGCTGATCTACGCTCACTATGAACGACAAAGGTTAGCTTAGGACCCCCCCACCCGGACTTTGGTCCCTCCCTCAGACAGGCAACTTCGCCCTCGCAGGTAAGCTCGGTCTTTCAAGGAGGGGGGGGGGGTGTGGCATACTGCGCAGGCACACGGGCCTGCAGGGCCCGACTAGACGGAAAATAAGGGCCCTACAGGCCCTGTATTGTTTCAGCCCAAAAGCTTGAAAACGAGGGCCATTTTCAGGCCCTCATAAAGTCGACCTGCCCTGAAACTCAGGCGCCAGACAAGGGTTTAGCACAGGCCATTTTTGGGCCTGTTTCAAGACAACCTTTGTTTGAACTTCAACACCCGGGTCTGGCACGTTTCGGCATTGGCAAGAGCAGCCTCCCGGATGGGTCAGCACTATATAGACCTGGCCTGCCCTGCAGGCTGGAGATAGTTCATAGGGACTTCCCAGGCAGTTCAAGGGCGCTTCACGTGCATTCAGAGGCAGTCTTCAGGAGTTGGCCGCAGCACTCTGCAGGAGTGCTGCAGTAGTAGTAGCTAGCGCTACAGTAGTTTCAGCGCTGGGCGCTGCTAGGAGGTAGAGTAGCATTTGGAGAGAGAGAGAGAACGTCGGAGGCTAGAGAGACTTACATGTGGCGCCATAGCTCCAGCTTCATCTTCGATGTACCTGCAACCAGGCGCCACCTTCACAGGTTAGTACTTGGTACAAGAAAGAGAGAGAGAGAGAGAGTTCTTCTTCTTCCTCCTCTCAGTCCACCATCTCTCCCTCACCCTCTTGCCCCTTGACTTCTCGAAATCTGCAGACTACGAGAGAGAGAGAGAGAGAGAGAGAGAGAGAGAGAGAGAG